TATATATATATATACTGTATATACCCACACATGTCAATTCCTATTTAACCAGGATAACAACATTAGCTGAGAGATTGGATATTTAGTGGTGTGGAATATCAAACAAATCCCTGTTTTTGTGTTTTTCATTTGCCGTCATGTGAGCGAATGGATATGTCTGTGATTGAGAAGGGAAAAGCGTGTATAAACACAAACAAACATGTAAACACAATCTGACTGATATTTAGATTGCATTCAAATTCGATCAGCGTGGATCTGCATGCCTGCAAGACACTGCAGATGAAGGCTCTACACTATTAGGCAGAGGCCTCCGTGCTCAGGGGAATTCCTCTGACATCTGATCTGCTCAATCTAGACGCCTGATGGAGGGAAGGGCCAGCTGGTGGCCCTCAAACACTACTGGGGATGAACAACTACATTGTACATCCATTATACACATATAATGAAGAAAGAGAAGCACTTGTGAGAGAGAGCAACAGCAAAAACATTAAAGATCATATTTCATTTGCCGTCATGTGAGCGAATGGATATGTCTGTGATTGAGAAGGGAAAAGCTGATCTCTGTGCTGATACTAAAGGGATCTGATGTAAAGGAGATTAATGAAAGCCCCCATTTGTCTATTTCCATACCCGCCCACTAGGTGAGTCTCCCCCCAACAGAAGCTAGGGGAGGATTACAAGTTTAAATCCCAGGGGCAGAGACAATTACACTGTTTAGACTGAAAGAAACACACAAGATGGAGGCAATGACAGGTTTTAGAGCCTGAGGCGTATTTATGGTGCAGGGGCTTTTGGTACACACCTTGGTGACGTGACCCAAAAGACCCTGCTAGCAAAAGACTAACAACAACTCAGTACTCCCTAGCAACACCTTAGTGACCCAAAAGTTCCTGCTAACTACTAGCAACAGACTAACAACCACTCAGTACTCCCTAGCAACACCTTAGTGACCCAAAAGATCCTTCTAACTACTAGCAACAGACTAACAACCACTCAGTACTCCCTAGCAACACCTTAGTGACCCAAAAGATCCTTCTAACTACTAGCAACAGACTAACAACCACTCAGTACTCCCTAGCAACACCTTAGTGACCCAAAAGATCCTTCTAACTACTAGCAACAGACTAACAACCACTCAGTACTCCCTAGCAACACCTTAGTGACCCAAAAGATCCTTCTAACTACTAGCAACAGACTAACAACCACTCAGTACTCCCTAGCAACACCTTAGTGACCCAAAAGATCCTTCTAACTACTAGCAACAGACTAACAACCACTCAGTACTCCCTAGCAACACCTTAGTGACCCAAAAGATCCTTCTAACTACTAGCAACAGACTAACAACCACTCAGTACTCCCTAGCAACACCTTAGTGACCCAAAAGATCCTTCTAACTACTAGCAACAGACTAACAACCACTCAGTACTCCCTAGCAACACCTTAGTGACCCAAAAGATCCTTCTAACTACTAGCAACAGACTAACAACCACTCAGAACTCCCTAGCACAGGGGTCTCCAAACTCGGTCCTGGAGGACCAGTGTCCTGCACAGTTTAGCTCCAACTTGCCTCAACACACCTGCCTGGACGTTTCTAGTATGCCTTGGTTCAGGTGTGTTTTGGAGCTAAACTCCACAGGACAGTGGCCCTCCAGGAACAGGTTCGGACACCCCTGCCCTAGCAACACCTTAGTGACCCAAAAGACTCTACTACCTAGCAACAGACTAACACCCACCCATAACTCCCTAGCAATGAACCAGAACACCCTGTCAATAAATGGCAACCATTCAGAACACCCTAGCAATGCCCTTGAAATACCCTAACACCCATAACTCAAAGCAACCTCTTAGTGACGACCCAAAAAATTACCAACTGCCAACAGCCTAACCACTCTAAACACCCAAGAGACAAACCAGAGCACCTTTCAACACCATAGCAACATCCTAGCAACCAGCAAGAACACCTTAGCAAAGGCCTACAAACCAACTAGCATCATCCTAACTGCTAAGTAATACCCTAGCAACCACCTAGAACACCATAGCAACACAAGTGAAATTGCAACAAATCAGAACACCTTAACAACCACACAGCAACAACCTAGCAACCATTCAGAACACCTTAGCAAAACTCTATAAACTGACTTGCAACATCCTAACTGCTAAGCAATACCCTAGCAACCACCTACAACATCCTAGCAACACAAGTGAAATTGCAACAAATCAGAACACATTAGCAACACCCTAGCAACTACCCAGAACACCTTATTAAAAGCCTACAAACTAACTAACAACATTCTAACGGTTAAGGAATGCCCTAGCAACCACCTAGAACATCCTAGCAAGACTAGTTAACTTGCAATAAAACATAAAACAATAAAAACCACATAGCAACACCCAAGCAACCACCCAGAACACCTCAGCAAAACTGACTAACAACATCCTGCTAAGCAATACCCTAGCAACCACCAAGAACATCCTAGCAACACAAGTGCTCTTGCAATGAACCAAAAAACCCTACCAATCACATAGCAACACCCTAGCAACCACCCATAACACCTCAGCAAAAGCCTACAAACTGACTAGCAACATCCTACATAGTTAAGCAATGTAGGCCTAGCAACACCATTGGCAAGAGCTTCGCACTGACAAGCACCAGTGACATTTTCTTCAAAAGTTGTAAAGATTTTCCAAGCTTTTAAGGTCATTTAGAGAACCATCTATGTACTGGATAAGCTTCACCTTTATAGAACTAACCATATAGCTTAACTCATGAACTCTAAACAGTGCAAACTGCTGAACCTAAGTAGCAGAACTGTGTAGACAGGAAAACTTGTTCATCCCAAACACCACATATTATAGAATACTAACAATTATAAATGATTTACTGATATTATAAGCAGTTTATCCCAGATGAGAGGATGTGGATGTATATTTGGTGAGCATAATCTCTGCTGTGCTGATTTTGGACTTGGACAAAGACACACAGCAAAACAGTCTGTCTGGAACATTGAGCAAGAGATGATCCAAGCTCTTTATCTCACTAAATGTGTGTGTGTGTGTGGGTGTGTGTGTGAGAGAGAGAGAGTCTTTTGTCATCCAAAATCAGGTCATTCACTGATTGATGCCTGAGGTCTTCCTAGATCGAGAACCAGGCAGACTTTAATGCAGCAGAAAACAGAAAGGGAAGACAGCAAGGGAGTGTTTGACAACCGTACGGGAACAAATGCCATATTATGATAACCATCACCTGGAAACCGCACTTCCTGAAATATGTTCAACATCCTTTTTTCTAGAAAGTTTGCAATAAAACCTCTCTAACCGTAACAAGTATTATCTTGCATTAAATCCTCCAGTTGATATCTATGAATGTCCAGTGTTTGTGTTTTCTTTGTGTGTTTTCCGTGTTTCTCCTGAAGCCCTGTATGAGCGGCTAAGACAATAGAGGTCTGCCACAGCTGTGTTTACCACTTTAGCCCCATTTCCACCTCTTAAGGCGGGCTGCTTTTAACAAGCCTTTTCAAAAACATACAGAGGCCCTAACGCACACAGAGACACTCACTCACTAGGGTAAGCCAACACACCTTTATCAGCAGCACAAACGTCTATTAATGAATTAGCGCATTGCCATAACAATGCCATTAGCATTGCTTTCTGTTACATTATGGCAACTGACACCAAGTGCTGTGGCTGAATAAGCAGAAAGGAAATTTAGCCATTCTCTGCCATGTGAGGTCATCTGCTGTTTTTCTTACAGAGGCCCTTTATGCACCAAGAGCTTGTAACACTCTAAAGAGAAAGGAAAAAATGAAATCGCATCATATGACCCCTTTAATGAATTAGCGCATTGCCATAACAATGCCATTAGCATTGCTTTCTGTTACATTATGGCAACTGACACCAAGTGCTGTGGCTGAATAAGCAGAAAGGAAATTTAGCCATTCTCTGCCATGTGAGGTCATCTGCTGTTTTTCTTCAGTGTAAGGTTGAGGCCATCTCAGGAGATTGTTTGTTTTTCTGGTGACTTGGCTGGCAGGAGCTCTGCGGTAGACGCTCTCACAGCTTCTGTGATTGTACCGCTGAGGCCCACATAAGGTTACCAGACTGTTTGTCTTGATGAGAGGACGAGATTTCAAAGTCTGCTTGAAAAGAAAAAAGTTCACTGTAGAAACCTTGATTTCTTTACAATTCAATGCTGAAGTGTTTAATTTCTGTGCATCTAGACACCAAATTGAATTGCAAATTCTCACAAACACTGCCTCTGTTTGCCATAGGTCAACAAACGGACAGTCCCGCCCCCAAACTCACGCTATTGGTCAAGTAAAAAAATCTGTCATGTTGTGTTGGTCAGGATGTTTAAACAAACAGAATAATGTTTTGATAGCGCAACAGGCGCTGTGTAGAAACCTTGATTTCTTTACAATTTAATGCTGAAGTGTTTAATTTCTGTGCATCTAGACACCAAATTGAATTGCAAATTCTCACAAACACTGCCTCTGTTTGCCATAGGTCAACAAACGGACAGTCCCGCCCCCAAACTCACGCTATTGGTCAAGCAAAAAAATCTGTCATGTTGTGTTGGTCAGGATGTTTAAACAAACAGAATAATGTTTTGATAGCGCAACAGGCGCTGTGTTACATTTTCTGGCATAATGATCTCTTAATGAAACTAAATGATTTCTGCACATTAAAGAATAAAATGGCATTTAAATTTTTACATAATATAGTTTTTTTGCAGTACAGTAATAAGTATTTGTATTTATTTATACATATATATACGAAAAGGATTAAGTAAGATCAGAGGAAACCACAATACACAAGGGAGTAATTTTATCACTTTTTTTGGAACTTAAATTTAACTATGATAATGTACAAAGATAACACTACCGTGAACAAACATCCCAACTCCCAACGGCAACAGCGTCTCCAGTGACTGTTGACTATGCCACATTTTTACATGCTGTGACGCAGGAGCTGTTGCTCTCTGCCCTGTTTTCTTACTTTTCTCACTTTGGGTTGGAAAGAGATGGAGCAAATGAGACACGGAGAGAGAGAGAGAGAGAGAGAGAGAGAGAGAGCAAACAAACTTTGGGAATGAGATCCTGTCTGGTTGAGGTTGTTCTCCTTCAGTTTCCCTCTCTTCCTGAAAGTCCCTCCCTCTCCCCTGTTGTTTTTCCTGGCCAGCTGTACTTACTGTTCCAGCTTTGTGTGCATGTGCATGCATGTGAGCTTGAAGAGTTGCACTCCTATCCACTCCCCTTTCCCTTGAGCTTGAACACACACACACACACACACACATATGCTCATAATGAACAGATCTGTCTGCATGGCTGCACAATGAGGCTCTGTCAGAATGTTACTACACTCTAACTGTGCTCTTTAAAGTAAGTGGTAAACAAATTTGGATCACGTAGGAGATGGAGGAGGGCTACAACAGCGCTGAAATGTAATGACACAGCCATGTTGCAGCCCATCCTGTTTGTATCATTTTTACCTTCCCTTCCAAAGACTCTTTCAGCCACCTGCAGCTCTAAATATAAATATTCAACATTATTTAGCTAGCAAAGGCATCATATTACTAATATTTGGATTAATTTTAATCTATTAACATTCAAATTTCATAAAATGAAATTTTTTGAAAAATTTAGAATATTTAATAAAATTATTTAAAATATATATTTTCTCATAACTATTTAAAATATTTCATTAGCAGGTTTAAAAAATTATCCCCCCCAACAAAAACCAACAACAAAAAAACTCATTATTCACTCTGCCTCGTTTTGTTTCAAACTAATGTGACTTCTTTTTTTTGCAACAAAGGTGAAAATGTTAGGGACTGGAATAATCGTCCAACCCGGCACAAAAGCTACAGCAGAAGAAAATATTTTCAGTCAATAATGACTTCAGTCTGTTCACCACACAAAATGGCTTCAAAATACTACTTTCTTATGTTTTTTTGTTCTTTTTGTTTATCTTTACAGCACACGGTCACTTTATGGTTTCATTAAGGAAAAGACCAGCATGAACATTCTTCACAACATCTCCTGTTATGTTTCATGGAACAAAATACACACTTTACTTTTGGTTTTAAGTCTTTTATAGGAATTTGTGTTATTTGTTCATTATAAGCCTTTAGCTTTGGGAATTCAAATCAGCCAGAAATTAAGTTGCAGAGTGGAAGGGGTACCTAGAAATGTTAAAATCATAAACAATTATCAGTTAGAAGACAAAGCAACCAAAAACAAAGCAGGTATAAAATGCGTTGGTTGTTCCAGAGTGGCACTTGTTGCGAATTGGTCTGGACTGATCACACAAATTGCGATTAGTCATCATCTGAATTACCACGGAACTCAAATCAAACGTCTATTTTAGCTGACAAAAACATTAATTATTTATTATTTTTCTCAATAATTCACTCATATGTACATTTACAGGAAACTCCTACTGAAAAAGATAGGTGGGAGGCGATTTTAACTGTGCTCGTCAGAAATGCTATTTCAGTGGCTGACCCAGACATGAATAGTTCACCTTCATGTGTGTGTGCATGAGATGCACTTGCGGTGGTGTCACCATGAACATGGGGACAGCTGAGGGAGGTACTGAACTATTCAGTCGCACACAGAGGGCACCATGTTTGAAGGTCAATGAGCCGGGGGGCTGAATCATTTCTTACTGGAAAGCAGTGAGTCACACTCCCACCCCCATTATTCAAGCTTATCCATTGTCGACCCAACAGATGTTTCTGCACTCATCCTTAATGGCTTGCAGGTTTCATTTCCATTGTCACATGGAATTTCCCTTAAGTGAATGTTTAGCATTTTTACTTGTTTCGATTGTCTTGGTATAGTACAAGCAGACGGCATCTAGGTACTATATTCCTATTTCCTACTTCAGTCATTTTTGGCCAAAATATTTTAGGTGTTTTTTTTTTTTAGAACTTTTTTTTACTTCATCGGAATGGTACGAAACTTGGTAAAGGTTTTGGCACTTGCTATGTGAACAAAAATATGGAAGCCTGTTTCTGCCACTGAATAAAAAAAAATCAAAAAGGTAACTGCGACTTTTAATCTTTTTTTTTTTAGCAATTATGATTTTACTTTTTTCTCAGAATTGCGAGATATGAACTCAAAAATGCAAGAAATAAAGTAATGATTGAAAGATATAAACACAATTCTGAGAAGTCATTTGTGATTTTATATCTCGCAATTCTGTCTATTTCTCAGAATTGCAAGTTTATATCTCGCAATTCTGACTTTATAACACACAATTGTGACCCAATTGCGAGTTTATACCTCGCAAGTCATAATTGCGAGACATAAAATAATAATTGAGAGAAAAAATTCTGAATTGTGAGATGTAAACCTGCAATTACCTGTATCAATTTTTTTTTATTTGGTGGCGGAAATGGGCTTCCATACAAAAAAAATAAAAATAAAAAATAAAAAATCATGGTTTGCATAAAATGAATTTAATCTAGTGGAAATGTTTGGTACTGCACCCAAACAAAATCTTACTAAAAGCTCTTTTTTTTTTAGATATCAACCTCAAATTTGGAACAC